TGGACTTATGCGACCACTTTTTCTCCTGCGCCCATCTGTTCAAAGTTCACAAAAATTTCTTTGCCGACTTTAAGCCCGCCAAATATCTGGATTTACTTGGTAAGTATGTAACTTTTGCAGTAGAGCACTTATCCTTTGTACCCTTTCATACCAATGACAAGAATTACCACTTATATCCTTCGTATCCATGACGAGAATTCGACTCTCACCCTCCCTGGCATAAGACCTCCCTTCAAACCCCAAAATTTTTTAGGATTAATGAGGGTAAATATTACAGAATAAGGTAGGAATTACAAGCATACATCTTCACATAAAACCCTCCATACCTCATATGTCAACGGCCATTTGGTCTAATAACAGAGTCTCCACTTTGTTGAAAGTAATCCTGAATTCAAATCTCACGGACACAACAATTGTTATCCATCCTTATATTAGCATGAATTGATGTTGACCTTTCAAATGATAGTTGGAGTTGCACATCGATTCGTATTCAAAAGGGAAGTAATTCTCTCCGTCAATGAATCTTCGTTCAAAAGAAGGCAGCTATCAAATATTGGTTACAAAAATGCAAGTACCATCCACGGTAAATTAATTAGTGAAAACATGCCAAGCATTAACCTTAACCATAATTGAGCACAAACCACATATTACAAAACCATGATGAGTTCTGGCATGCTTGAAAAGAGAAGGACCAAATACAACAGAAAAGAAAATACATTCAAGCTTCTCACTAAACATGGCTCAAGCACCCGATCATCGTTTCAATCCAAACCTACCCAACAAGGGCATACCATGTGTCCATTGTAACAGAAAAGTAGCATTTACAAAGCATGAACTGCAATAAGTTTCTTTTTCTCCTAAACAAAATTGTTACTAAAATGGAACAAAAGATCCCTAACACAAGCAAAGACAGTCAATTGTCATACACACAAAATTAGTCCTCATCCATCCCTGCAGGCTGATCTCTCTTACTAGGGCCACCTGCTGGTTTTGCCATTATAATCTGCAAGATAGTCAAAGCATTGTCAACAACCCTTTTTTTTCATGAAAGTATTAAACATTAAATAGGCTGCAATCAGATAGATTCATCATTTCTCACACATTTTTAGCTAGCCAGAAAACCCCCAGCTTATAGATTTTCTATTTACTATCAAGCCTTCTGCACTGAAGCCATATTCATTATAAAAGTTCAACATTTCCCAAAAGTAACTTTCAATTTTATTTTATTTTTCCAAGTTAGAAACTAACATTTGCTACCGTTCTTAAAAACAAAATAAAAGACAAAAAGACTTCACAAAAAGCATAAAATTAAATAAATAAATAAAAAGAATAGTCAACTAATTCATAAAGCCTCGACCTTTTTTTTAAACTGTATGTAGTTTAGCATTTTTTCTGCTTTGGCCTCAAAGAGCAATTAGGGATTTAAAGATGTAGTTCATACCAAATTTGAGTACTTCAAAATTAGGAAAACCATTGACAAATATGTAGTTACTAGTTACCTGATCCACCCGTAGAACAGTGCAGGCAGCATCTGCAGCATACTTGAGAGCGAAGAACCTGCAACAAACAGCCCAAGAAAGAAGATTGATACCTATATCTCATATGAAACAACTTCCTGGCCAACTTAAACACATTGATTTCAATAAATTAATGAAACAGAACTATCTACAGTTCATAAATATCCAAAATGTTTGAAGTCGAGATGTTTCCAAGTTACTATTTATCAGTTACCCAAACGAATCCTCACTTATTCCTGAATGCTATAATTCATAAAAATCCTAAATGGAAACCATCCATATTATTTGTAAAACAAATAAAAAATAAAAAGGTTGGCATTGTCACTTGGTTATCCTCTAGAAACCAACCATTTACTGAAAAGGAAAGATAAGAAACCTTTCGTAGTGGATATGTGGCTTAACTATTTACACACATGGAATATAATAAAGAAAATAACTGAATGACTGGGTCCCATGGTGAATAAAGGCTTTCAGCACAAAGATGTAGTTGTTTGACCACCAAATCATGAACTAAATTTTATGCATCATATGCAGATAACCTCCTAGCCCAATTAGCCAGCCAATGGACTCCAAAACGCACCACAAACCTCAAAACACCCGGTGCTAGTAAGTCACAGTTTGATACAGAAAATCAACAGAAAGGATACCAATAAGATGAACCATTAATGTACGCAACAAGAACTAATTGGCTATCAAAACCACCAAAAATGGGATTACTAAAAGCTTCCTCTACAAACAAATTCTAGATCCAAAATTAATGTAAAAAAAAGTTCAGAACCAAAAACGCATCAAACATCACAGCTGTAACAATCTTCAATGTATTGAGAACTTTCACATAAACGCATGAACTGTTACAAAGACAAAGAGCAGCTTACTTAGTTATGTGGAGGTCCCAAATATTAAGAGTTGACACATCTTTGCAACGGCCTTCCTCCAAGTCGAGGCCAACTTTGGTATTTCCTGATGCATGTTCAGCATATAGAGAAGATATGATCTCCATTGCATTAAGCCCAGCATTTTCAGCTAGCGTTTGAGGCACCATCTCGAAGCTTTCAGCAAATTTTGCTATTGCGTACTGATCCAATCTGCAAAACCATTGTTTCTTTAGTAGGTTATTGCACTACTGCCCAATCAGAAATCTGTGACTGGGAAAAAGATTACAAAATCAAGTTCCAATAGTTGGTCTAGACATCAATATTCTATTTTATGTTTCAGGGGCAACATCTTGAGAAAATCATAGTTCACGCCATTTACCCTGTTTCTGTAAAAGAGAATTCCTTTACTCTCTTAGCTAACTCAATTTCAGTAGCTGCCGCTCCAGGAACAATGCGGCTATCCTTACACATTGCCTGAAAATGAAATGCATTACGACAGTAAGATAATAATTCCAACGGTTTGGACATCTGATTAAACAATTTATTCAAAAGTTCCAGAGAACCATATGCTAACAATGATTGCAGAGGTAAAACAAAACCAGCCTAACAAGAACATACAACATTCTGAATGTTCCTTGTAAATTACCTTGTAAGTGTTCACTCCGTCATCAACTGCTCTTTCCAGGTCATCTAATATACTGTCAGTACTCCCTCGTAGAAGTACAGTAGATACAGAATTACCACCTTCTTCATTCTTCACAACAGTGACCTACATGACAAATCATTGGACATGTTAAAACGAAATAAGGGAAAACAAATGGGGCAAGAATAAGCAGATTTATTGAGAAAATACTATGTAAATCACTGTTTTATATCTGCTTATTATCCTTGAATGAAAGTTAATACTTGATTTTAATTCTTTTATATAGTTTATAGATTTTTCAATAAAACTAATGT